GTACGAACCCTTTGTACGAACAAAAGTAAGAGAAATTTAGGATAAAAATACGAACATGTTCTTGCATGAGGCCCATTAATTCTATCACCACCAGTATTTGCTGTTGACAACTCGAACAAAATAAATGGTTGGAGTGAAGAGAAACAAAGCTGCAAAGGCTGCCAAGGATGCAAATGCGAAGAAATCTGCTCAGCATGCTCGAGAAGAGACGCCTGCAGCGAAGACACCAGTCGTCGCTTCAACATCTGCCACGGGCATGGATCCACCTGCTGCTGCTGCCGAGGCTTCATCTTCAATAACAACTTTGACAACTTTAAGCGAGGGTACCGCAGTCAAAAATAATTCTGTAGCTACAAAAGATGCCTCAACATCGACTGAGGACATGCATCTCATAACCCCTGTGGTAAAGAATGACCCTCTCGTTTGTGAAACCGCCGTTTCCATCTACCATCATTCTGACCGACAGGTCTACGCTCCCTGGAGAAGCACTTTCTACCTGTGCAGAACACAAATTCCTCCGCCTGAGCAGCTGCGTCAGGAGTGGTCTCTGGAACCGCATGGATTCTGTGGATCGTGGGGTTACGTTTTCAATTATGAAAGAGGCGAGCTAACCCTGTATCAGCTGGAGGAAGCAGGAGAATTGGAGCCGTTCACTCCGGTGGGGTTGCTGACGTACAACGACTGGGCGATACTGAAATTAATCGTCCCTTGCAAGTACTACACCACAAAGGCCGCCTTAAGCCGAGGAGAAAAAATTGAAATGTTACCTCCAATAGTGAAACGTGTCAGAAGGGCTCTTTTTCCAACCAGCGTTGAAATCGCCGAGAAAAAACTTCTCTTCAGCGCATTCTGGCAGACGAAAGAGTGCTTGACCGGCAAGTGGTCGTTCAGAGCTAGCATTCGCAAGTTTGATCACAAGATTCCCACTAACCTCTTCGTTCTGGAGTCTGTGAATTCAGAGTGCGGTGTCTTCAAAACTCTGCTGGCTATTCCGATCGAYGAATGGGTACAGAAATTGGATGAAATAGGAAAGAAGATCTCTGACCTGTTCCGCAGCTCTCGCTGCTGGAATGATATAGTGGCTGTGAAAAACACATTAACCTTCTGACCTCACAACGCTCTGCCTCCTGTGATGTCACGACGCTCCACCCCCCATGTGATGTCATAATGCTCCGCCCCCACAAGCCTCAGTTTTCCTATATAAGGAGAACAGGGGTTAAATACTTTTCCACTTCAACTCTACTCTGCAAACTCTGCAAACTCTGCAAGACGAGAAAGGAAGAAATCAACATGTCCGGACAGTCAAAACAGAACACTCTCGCATCCTGCTGGGGCATGTATGACGTCGACGTACCTAAAGGATGCAACGTGCTGTATTTCCCATCTTCACCTGTCGCTTATTCTCCATCCTCCGACTCTTCATCAGCTCCTTCTCTGGGCGAGGTTCTACCGATGGTCGCTCGTAGGAGAAGATCGAGGCAGCTAGCCTCCATCGCTGAGCAGAAGGCCAGCATCAAGAACTCAGCTAGCGTGCACAAGACCAGCATCGAGAGCTCAGCTAGTTCCTCCGTCAATCCCAGTGAAGGGGAACAGGAAATGGATAGCGTGCACAAGACCAGCATCGAGAGCTCAGCTAGTTCCTCCGTCAATCCCAGTGAAGGGGAACAGGAAATGGACGAACGCCCGTCCTCTTCCTCCGTTCAAAAACGTCACTGCAGGCACACCCGCCAACGAAGCTCTGCTGATACAGGTGAAGAGGAGCTGGAGATGGACGGACCTCCGGCCCGCCTTGAAGAACTTGAATGTGATTGCGGCATGAACAAAAGCCATGA